AGGGACATAAATCTTGGAGAACTGATTTCAAGGAAATACCTTATTTCTGCACACTGCAGTAATGTGTGTGCAATTGGGGGGGCTTACTTTATGACGTTGCCTCTTTTTTCATTATTTATCCAGTTTTCATGAACGTGTTAAATTCAGATGTAATGTCACAGTTAGGTGTTTCTGCTAAAACCGTTTTAGAAACTGTGAAATACACTCAAGATAAAAACACGTCTGATGAGGATCTGCCTGAGAAGCCCATTGAAGTCAGTGGGAGGTTGCACTGTCTTCCCAAGCAACTCTGTCAGAGCTAAAACAGTACAGAAATAACCTTTAAAGCACTACTACTAGTACTGCTACTACTAAAACTATGTATATTATGCAAAATATCTGGGTCATAGAAGAAGTGTTGGCAGTTTTTTTACAAATCCGGTGTGGGACTTGCGTAGTAGTTCAATGCTAATATGTGCTTGTAGTTTTACCAAGCCCTGTTTATGTCACAAGTTGCTGGGCTGTGGAGGGCTATGACGTACATCTCAAATGGTACAGTATCAGGGCATTCCCACTTCAGAGCTGGCTGTTCTGTGCCGCTGCCTTTGCGCTCTACTTTTTCCCCAATATATGCAAAAGTACCAAATTGAGAGAGGGGTCTATTTGCTTTTACGTGCTGTCACATCGGTGTAGTAGGTACAGTTCCTACAGAGCTAGAGTACAAGACCAATTTGGTTTGTTCAGCAGTAGTTTACTAAAGAATATTTTTCTTTAACCAATCCTTCATTGTTATGTGGCCAAGATGTTAATTAGCTCATTGTTTCTGCTTAATTTTGTGACAGTGCTATAATTATATCAATCAATTGTGCCATGAAGTAATTGCTGTATCTTTTCCAAATTCTATGTTGAGATATGTTATTGGTAACTTTGAATTGGCAGAGGTGTTTTGAAAATACTGTAAGGCGGTCAGTAATTTTTGTATTTCTTTATTTAAAAGACAGCCATTTGGCAATTTCAAGCTTTGAGACTGTACTGTCAATGTAAATAGAATATTGATTTTATTCCATTTCCTATCTCATTAGAGTCATTGTCATGAGGATGAATTCATGTTGTGTAATTATCTGTTCTTGCTGACAGTTCTCATGTCATTGAGACTGGCGTTTTCAGCTTCCACTTTCTCTGAGCATAAAAATAGCATTCTTCACTGCCGTGTTCTTCTTTAGTGTTGTGCTTTTTGCCTGTCCAGCTTTATACATCTTTCTTTCCAAGAGATGTGTGTGAATTGAGATAGAGAAAAAAGGAACGTCCAGCAAACCCAGTTACAGGAAGAGTGAAAACAATGGCTCCTCGGGAACAGTTCCCAGCGCAGTGAGACACTCCTGTTCAGATACCTTATTTTTGTGTCAAAGACTGTAATGAGAAGAGGAGGAAAAACATGTCATTAACCTGGCTGTACAACATTTCTTTATAGCAATAATGGGAAGTAATAAAAATGGAACATATTTAATCAGAACTTAGAAACTGTAATCACATGGTCCTTTGTGTGTTAGTTTCACTTTCTTGGGCGTTTTCAGATAACCTTTCCACTGATTTGTGAAGTTGTTTCTTAATCGTTTGAATTGACCCAGCTCAGCAGACAACTGAGTCATCTCTCTTACCCTCCTAAGGAATGACTTCTCAGTGTTGTTTCTCTCTTTTATCTTTTCTGAGAATAACTTTTTAATTTGCTTTCAATATTTTTAGCTTCATTTTCCTTGTATTCCAAATAATCAGTGAAGGCAAAGTTACGCTTTGTCCAACCAATGTTGCAACAGTCCCAAGACAAGTAGCAAATACTTTCAAATTTCAAAAGGTGAACTTTGAAAACTACCTGTAGATTAAGAACAGCCTTTAGTACTGAATGGCCTACTAGGTGGAGTCTGGAAACTGTCAGCCCCCAAATAAATTTTAATTAAATAAATAAAAAAAATATTAAAAATCAACCCAACCCCTTTCCTGTCCTCTCACTATGGTTCCTCCCTCTGGATTTGTTGCGGTCTTTCCTAGCTTATCAGAGACAGCCCAAAGAGACACATCACATATATCTGCTGGGGTTTTTTGCAGACAGTGGTGTCCTTTAGTATTTGAGGCTTATTGGGGACTCCTTATTGACGTGGAATATCACAAGCGAATTTCAAAGTGAGGGAAAAATAGTTTATGCAGATAAAAAAAAAAAAAGATTCTGTGCTAACATCTTCCTTTATTTAGTGAAGATATTGAGGACATACCTCTGGTCTGAAGTCAGTCTTTATTTTTGCTAGAAGGCTATTTTTAAAGCTGATATTTCTGGCTATTGTTTTCAGGTAGGTAACAAATTCTGACAAAACAATTATTCTTCAAGTAACTGTGCAGACAAAATATGCATCTAGCATTTCTTCACATTCAGAAGATTTACCTCTGAGGCATCACAGCTCCTCAGAGTAATACTTTTCTTTTTGCAGTTGGCAGCCTGAAGAACGAAGGGTGAAATTCAGCCTTGTTTAATGCAGTTACAGATATATCACTGACCTCAACAGGAGCAGGATTTCGCTGCAAGTGGCTAGTCTGACGCCAAATAGAAAACTTACTACAAAGCTAGGAATAAAACATAGTTTCTTGAGTTTTACCGGGAAGATTACTCCTTTCACTACACGTGAGCACAAAAGATAGTTTTCATTTGTTTTCATTTTGTATGTTGCCTTTATGCTATCTTTCTTCGTAAGGGGTGACTACTCGTGCAATGAGACTGAAATTAAGTATCTTGTTTTGAAAACGTGGCCTTTAACTTGCTTTGGCTTTAGCATGTAAAATATATCAATTGCTGCTCTAACTCTTCTTGTTGTTTGGAAAAATCAATGCTTGGTATGGATTGTATACCAAACTGATGAACAGGAGAAAATCCACACTTAGAGCTGTTTCAGAACTTTGTTGTAGAGAGCTCTTACTGCCTGCATCGGCACCACCCTCTCCTGAGGGTCTCACAGGGAATAAACGTTCATAACAAAATAACACTCAGAAGTCATCATTTTGTGCTGTGCAAGAGCAATGGTGGGAGGAAGTGGATACATCTATTATCTGTATCTGCGGAGGACGGTGAGTTGCAGTACACCTTGGCTGGAGGCCGGGTGATGTGTTTTAGGATTCCAAAAGCTCTCTGATGTGAAGGGCAGTCCCACACAAGGTGGCTGGGGATGCCTGGAGCCCATCCCACCAGGGCACCCAGGTGGGCCTGCTGGTGTGCGGCTGTGGCCAGGCGGCATCGTGAGGTCCCAGCATATTGTTTGGTTCTTTCAAATCTCTTGGTGCTAACCCATCGTGGCTAAGTAGTGTGGCACAGGTGGGAGAACCAAACTTGTTTGCCTGAGCACTTGTTACGGAATGAGTTTTCAAGACCCAAGTCTCTGCTGTATCCCCAAGGGCTGAGCAGTAGTGACTGCTGGCATGGGATGACTGACTTCTGAATTTTAGGCAGCTGAAGCAAATGAATATCTGTGTTTACCAAGAAGACACCTAGCTGTTAACTTGTGCTTGCAAGTAGTTATGCATAGTTGTTTGTCTCCTGCTAGCAGGGATTAAAAATGTGGGCATGATTAGAAGTGTCCTGGCAAGGAAACCATGGTGCCTGTTACAATCTTATTAGCTGTATTAGGTGTGCTTTACTTCTCCTGTAGTTTGTTGTTCTAATCACTTAGTCCCTGGGAAAAGACGCCTCGTAGATTTTTCCTCATCTATTGGTTTGCATCCACGCTGACCAGCATCACTTCCCAAGATGTGTTTTTGATGACAGTGTCAGTGATGCTGCTTTGGGGGGGTGGCGGTGGTGGGAAATATGAAGATTATGGAGCAGTGTCTCTAGAAAGACAGGGATGGGAACAACCTTCCCCCTAAACGCAGGCGGGCAGGATGCTGCTGGGGGTTGCAGTGCTGGCAGAAGTCCCGTTGTTGGTGTTGCCTGTGGGCTCCGGTGTGCCGCAGCGTGCTGTGGGCACTGTCGTGAGGGCCCCTCTGCTCTGTAGTCCAGGCTGCTCTTTTGAGATCTCCAGGCTGGGACAAGTTACAATTTATTATGGAGTTAAATTTGCACGTGGCACCAGACTTCTGTGGCAAAGCTGGGCATCTGAAACTTGTCTCAAAGAAACACCTGTTCCACCTTGGCATCTGAGGGGAAAGGTTTACCCTCTCATTTCTAGATGTTAAATGCCTGGGTGGGTTTTTTTTAAGTGAATGATGTTTGTCACTAAGCTTGTAGTTCACCTGCAATACGTTAATGGGAGGAAAAAGAGTGCCAAGTAATCATTCTCTTCTGGAAGGGGCAGTCGCACACGTGCAGGCACATTATTTCCTGAGGTCTTAGATGAATACAGATCCAGGCTAGTTTGTGGTGACCCCAAAATGACTATATATTAGCGACTAGGGTTACATAAGAGTGCACGGTTGTTGTCTCAGGCAGTCAGCTGTTGCACCAGAGCCGAGCCGGTCTTGTGAATGAGCGGCATTTTGGGTCTGTCCTTAAGAGAAGCAAGTACTGGCGCCCGCGGGAGCGGAGGGGTCGTGCCGCTGCCTGACCCCGGGCGGTAACGACCGCACGGTAACGCTGCGTTGTAACGGGCTCCCGGCGGGACGGCGGGCCCGGCTTTCTGCGTCCGTTAAGCCGCGCCGCTTCCGTGCGGGGAGCCCGTACCTGCGGGC